ATAACTCACTTTCCTTTTCATGTACTAGGATATGCAAAGTTAGCTTGTTAGGCAGTCTGGATGCGAGAAAGTAAGCTATTTGAAGTCATAAATCTTGGAGCTCGGTTAATGAATGAGAATTTGTTACAAATAAATCCTCGTTAAAGACAATAATTGATATATACAATATAAAAACGTGCTATAAACAATCGGAAATCAATTTGAGGTAACTTTAGCCATCTACATACACAATTATGCTAATCATTCTATAACTTTACTTAAAACATTATAGAATTGTTTGATGATACAACTTTTATTAACATCTTTGTTTTTCAAATCATCATTTTTTTAACACAAGTATCTATCACATTTCGCACCAACGTAAGTTGCTTAAAGGGTACTCGTAAATGTCACGCGGTTGAAGTAAGGGGTAAGTATGGGGTAGGCTAGTTAGTGTATTAATAAATATTTTGTAGACGTTGCTTATAATTTGATGTCAAAGTAAAATTATCCCTATTCCCAATATTATCAGTGCATTACGTAATGTTTAAAGTCATAAAATGTAATGCCATTAGATGTAATGTAAGTGCTTGCACGTGCTAACGCTCAGGCAAATAGCCGGTAAAGTACTCGGTATGTTATTCCAAAACACATATTGATGATCGTATTACATGGTTATAGAGACGTGCTTTTATAAAAGAGCTAGGATATTCGGTATCATTTATTATTAAGTACCTAATCTGAGAATCAATAAAGAAATCAAATAAACTAAAGGTAACACGAAATGGAGGTGGACGTTCACACTAAGCAGTTACGTATGAAGCAATGTTAAAGTTTATTTGGATGATACATTAATCTCAATAATAATCTAACGACAATTTACAAACCAAAGGTGATCACAGATTAGTGCAAGTCATAATATGAAATATGGGAAGGAAGATCTCAATCGTAATATGAATTGACTATAAACAAACTGTATTCAGATATGCTTATAGAAAAAGAACAGCAGAAATATATTTTCTTAACTTATTGAACCGGGCTTTAATTCTATCGCATTGGTGATGTCAGCTACAGATGCCGTCAAAATCAGAATATGCGCTATAACTTTTTCCACTAACGTAAAATATTTAATAATATTTCTTCATCGTTAGTTTTAATAAACTGTGTAGATTATATTAGAAAAGAAAACCTGTAGAAATTAATATTGTACCTTCCATGGCATCTCACCATAGCACTATAATGGTGCGCGTACTCTGGAAATAGACGCTCCCTCTTACTCTCAGAGAGCTTGGCATTATTTATATTCCGCCAAGCGCCCGGACGATGTATACCCCTACAATATTAAATCAATTATGGCATGAAATATGTCAGAATTTATGACAGGTATTTCAGAGGATTAACGATTTGTTATTGCGAGGATCAGTTATCAAATCACATATAGCTAGTCAGAAGCTAGTTTACCTTTTCATATATTCAACAGGCATGCTGTTTATTGTATGATTGGAAAAATAAACTAGTGCCAGAAAATTGCTAAATGTATTTTAAAGTCATGATGTGATGCTACCGAGTAACTTTGTTGATTAGAATACCAATCTCTGTTTTACATCTTTTGCACCGTACATAAGAAGAGTCCAAGGGTACAACCACTGCTTTGCGAAAAATATAGTTAGAATATCGTCCCATTAATAAATATCTGGTTGACCAGTCACACATAATATTTAGATGGTGTGCTAGTTTTACAAATTAGCAAATTTAAAAAGAGATTTTTATGTTTAAGAGAAGGCATTTTGACAAGCATATTTCAAAGCGAAAACTATTTTAATATTTAAGCAACAAGCCTACTTTTATTGAAACAATTCAACACACCAAGTGAATTTCATGAGAAGAAATAATAATATTTCATTAACGTTCTTTTGAACAATAAAGCATTATAAAAAACTTAATGATCTTTGAGTGAAATAAAGATGGCGAAGGAAAAGTATTAACCTAGTCAGGTGCTGAATAAATTGGCAATTAGCAAATTTAATAAATGTTACATAATTTATATGAATATTAGCCGTATTATTCCGGGTTAGCAACGATTTGATGCAAACATAATTTTCATGTATCAATACTAATAAATAAGACAGAAAAGAATATGGTTCATTTGTAAACACAAATCCTGATATAACAGTATAACAAAGAAAAATAACATTTCAACAAGAAAACCGGCTTTAGAGCACCTTGATCTAATTCCCACAAATACAAAGAATTTAACGAAAAATGTGGAAAGATGAACGATGCTATGTTGCAACTAAGCATTGTTGCCGTCTAATGGAATCTTGTAATCTGTGTAACCTTGGCGTCTTTAACGAATATTTGGCTATTATGTACTTGATACAATAAATTGCTATATATTTTGGTTTTTGAACAATAAATTTCATGTAGCGTCAGTTGAAGGTCAGCCAATCTTTTTAGAAGATTTCGATAGTATGATAACATCGCTTTTATTAGCAAATCTGAGAAGTAATTAGTTCATATCAGACGCTAAATATCAAATGATTCATCAAAATTAAGCATCATTTGTAAAGGTCAAGCTTAATGGATAGGTGACCATAAATTTATCTCTGTATTCCGGAAGGGTTATTGATTTGCTGATCCCTTGTTAGATGAACATGTTTATTGAGTTATATTTTGCTTGTCTGTTCTATATATTTGACCCTTTTTTTGTCAACAACAAATAAACTTCTTTCTCCAAATATCCATAGTCACGCGTAATGAACTAAAGCCATATTATTCTATCAATAATTTGTTAATATTTGTAAATATTATAAATCATACTATAGAGGTAATATTATATTGCAGGTTATATGAAAAAGTAATTTCTTTTATAATCTGAAGTAGCCCATATCACATCAAAATATCTAAGATAGTTTAGAATGTAGGAGTTTACATTTAGAAGAATAATCAAGAGATCATTTTGATTTCGTAGTTTCATTCAAGGATTGCGAGAATTCTCATTTTACAGCAAGACCAACATAAAGTGGTTCTATATCGGTAGGAAATTGCCGTCTCGCTGCGGAGATGTTATCTTAGAAGTTATTCGTGGGTTGAAATCAAACAATAACGACGTTTCAGATAGCTAAACAAAACATGGTACTTGATGAGTTTTGACGGCAATGTTTACTTTGACATGGACCCATTATTTAGACGATTATTATTTACATATTGAACATTTATTATGTTTATAATTTAAGTAGAAGTTTTATCTTCAGCCTCTAGGACATTTATAGTTCTTCAAAATAATATATCTCTGAATTTATTATTCTCATCCAAGTGTATTCTTATATTTTGTTAATGTTCCGTCAGATACTACTTCTCACTATTACATTTCTTCTCTGTCTTACGTTTTCGCAAAAATTTCCGTACTTATCGTAGCTTGAAATCAATTTGCTTTAAAGCGGCTTAGCCGTTAAATTGCAAAAGATAGTAGATAACTTTCGTTCCATGGATGGATTATTAAAACAAACGTTCAGATTTGCATTGTCTTTAGATCTACTTAAAAGTCCTAGTTTCCGAATTCGTTTTACCGAAACCTAAGCTCATATTTGTGAATCCGACTAGGGCTTTTGCAGAAACCAAGCCAAAAATACAGAATCAAATTCACAAAAGCTAAAAAGCAACCTTGATTTTTATAAAATGAGCTCGCAACAGTTATTTCTCTCGAGTCACAATCCACCGGAAACGGAACGGCAGACCTTGAACTTTTCACAAGACAACTTCATAAAACTTACAAACACTACTCAATTATATATCGTAGAAAACAAACCTTTCGGTCGACGTAATAGAAGTTTATGTAAAAGCAAACGTTGTTTGGTCGCAGAGGCTTAGTTCAATGCCTCGGAGAAAAAACTGACGGCACAAAAACCTTGGAATCACGCGATTTATTGCCTACTTCGATCGTTGCAAGCAAATAATGGAGGCATACTGTCAATATTGGTATTTATTAACTACTGAATGCGTTGAATATTTAGTTTTTGTAACTGTAGCTTTACTTTGCGTTTTCATGTTGTTGATTTCTCTTCTTTAAGTTCTGCATCTTCATTTTTAAATAAACTCCAGTTTTCTAAGAAAACATGTGACTGTGTCTGGTATATATCTGTGATCTAGTTTAGCGTCTTAACCAGATTTATACTACTTATATCATTTAGATTAAAACTTCTTTTTTATTTGTTTAAGTTAGTAAATTACACCCACAGCATCAATTTTAACATCACTTGATGCTTCAAACAATTTAATAATATGCAAGGAGCATTATTAAATGATGATAGCGTGTCTTTTGTATATTCAAAGAATGACAAAATTCTTGGTGTGATAAGTGACATGTTTGTATTGAGATCACAAAGACTCAACTACAGCGTTCCTCTCATATTTATAGTGTTATCTTAACATAACAAAAGTGGATATTTAGCGTTGGCATTTTCTTTGTAACATTTAAAAATAACAACTAACTATATACACCATTTCTAAGCAAATTTCTAGATCATCGATTAACAATCAGAAATCTTGGGATTCGACGAAGTTTTGTTTCTATTATTAATGGACCAATGTTGCTGAAGATTCCTTGGATACACACTGAATGCCAGGGGCAGATACCTTAACGAAGATAAGAACTTAATTGCAGTTGTTTATCATTTCTTTTTCTGTGTTTATAAGTTTCGTGACGAAAAAAACCTTTTTGCGATATCTGACTATGTTTTGAGGAGTTCAGCTACTTGACTACTCCGTAAAAGTGTCTTTATAAATTACGAGTATATAGGTTGCTAAGCGCAAATCAGCCAGCCCACTTAAACGATTTTTTTGATATTTATAGAAGTTCTAGGAAAGTTCTCACAGAAGGATAAATTGTAAGGATATAATAAAGAATATAGTAATAACTATATAGGTGATACAAAAATATGTCAGCTAATAAAATAAAACAGGTTGATGTTCCCACATGGTGATTACCAGTTCCGTATTTATAATTACCTATTTCGTTTCAGGTCGAGTCAGGGCCGCCGGTGACCATGGCAACCGGCACTGAAACAAACCCTTGAAATCAGCGGTGAGTACCAAAATAACTGAAAATGGAATCACAATATCATTTTGTGTTGAAATGACTACACCTTTTGACATAAACCCACAATACCTAGTTATAATACCTAACAAAACTTATTCAATATTTATAAACAGGCGTGTCGATAAAAAATGTGTATTACAAAAAATTATCAAGCGTGTTAACAATCGTTAAACAATAACAGACAACTTTCGTTTGATCTTGCTGATCATTGGTCAAATAGCTGGAATTGCGTAAAACCGCCCGCTGTGTTTCAATGTTGTTATATTTTCAATAAAAGCACTAATTCTGGCTGACATAATCATAGTACATTTTAAAGTATCGCTGAAAATTTTGTGAAACCACTCATAGACAAAATAAGAGAAATCATTGAAGCTGATGTTAATAAGTATAAGATATGACAAACCATGAAAAAAAACAAAATTGTTGGCTACACGAAACAATTTTAATAAGCGGGGATTAATAAAATAAACGAGTTGCATGCTATAAATTAATATGTGCATGATACTTTAATTCTTTTTAATGATCATAATTTGCCGCTTCATACTGATTGCTTTCTTAGACATTCCACGGATTATATTTGCGTGGAATATTATCAGTGTTTGTTTTTCCATTGTTGTTTACTACATCAATAGTAGTATTATTGTCGTTAATGTTGATTAGACTATATGTCATTTGTTGATAATTATTATCAGTTACATTCGTTTCACTACCGTCATTCCCTAAGTTTCTTTGGAAACGAATTTCGATTAGATTTTGACTGTTGGATAATAAATTAGACGAGAAAGGTTTATAACGCCTGTTTCACTTTTTAATAATAATACGATCATTGTAATAATGATATTCGTCAATCGATGTCTTAGGATTTTTTGGCTTCTAACCTTTAAGTTAAAAAACAATGACCGAGCAAGACCTTTTCCTAATTTCGTTGATTTTCTTCGTTAGTGTACACAAGCACTGTAAATTTGATATCCATCAGGAATTTCCTTTACACGTAAATTAACATGTAAACTATCGACAGAAATGTTCAGTTAACCCCGTTCCGGCTTCGGCCTAAATAGCGAGGTCGAAATACGTCCTAGCAATGCCGTGAAAACATCTGTCTAAACATCAAACAATAGTACATACATACGCATGAACTCAATTTGACTGAAAAATATTTTTAAAAACAATCTACATTTGTTGGCACAATGAAAGGGATTATTACTATTGTCAATGAAAAAAATGTCGAATATAATGTACAAGAAATTTCTATTCACAATAAGTTGCATATAAATTATATGTGAGTTATAATTAAAAGAAGATAGACTTATCATTATTCAGTTGTATAGTTAGATGTCCAAGTAAAGACTTAATTATCAGTAAATTTGAATTAAATCAATCATATTCTTTAAGCTTTCTTAGGCAAATTAACTGCAATGCCATTTAGTGCTAAATTGAGAATGACACTTGTATATATGACACCAGTCTAGGACTGAATAGATATTTTGTTAATTAGCTTAAAGAGTTTTAGCCTACGTAAATAAAAAAAAAAATCACGTGTGTGATGCGTGCGATTTGAGTAAAGATTATGACAATAAATAATTTCTAATCTTGGCTGAAGTTCACAGTGAATGTAAATTCTTTTTACGAGTAGTATTTAAAATCTCTGTTCGTTTAAAATGGATTTGGATAATGGTATAAATGATAATTCTTCAATATTTTATCCTTAATGACTACACCAATTATGAACCTTACAAAGGTCCAAATGAACTCTCATTATTCCATCCAATCATCTGTCCTTCTGAACCTGCTTCACAGCCTAAAGAGCCTCTCAACTCGCAGAAGCAATTACGAAGACTTATTTGGTTTTAAAATCACCTCGTAGGGGGCTATAAATTCATGGCATTTACATTAAATTTGCGTCTCTTCTTAAGTCCTTTAGGATGGAGCACCTGGTGCCGTTTTGTTGAACTAGTTTGTTTTTCTTTAGCTTTTAAGCATGAAACTTTAATGAGCAAAAGTTTTCTAATGCTTATCTGAATGCTTATCATATCTAAAATAAGGATCAGGAGAGTCATCTATTGAAATTTCTTTGTGATAATAGGTTTCATTTTGCTTTTTAACCGACTTCTAAATTTATATTTTTATGTTTGACGGCGATGTATATTTTCCTAATCCACTTAGCGACTTGTATGCCCATTTTCAAAATTATTTTTTTATTCGATAGCTTAATGGACCGAAAAGGTCCCATTTAAACTTTATCTAAATCTAATCAATAGTTTTCTTTTTATTCATTTTCCGTATGCTCATGTGTTCCTAATTTCTAATAGCTGACTTTTCCAGCGACTTGAGTAGTATTTATTTAAATAATTTGTGTAAAACGTTACCTTGTAATGACTAATTTTGTGTTAATTATACAATGAAGTTCCTCTATTATCCACATTACAATAAGTGGTGAAATAATTAAACTGTGTAACTATTAAATCTACCCTACAATCATAATGTAACCACAGGTTAGTGCAGTATTTGCGGTATTCCATTTTGATTCTTGTTGCGAGTTTATATTGTGGCGTTGTACGGCTCAGTGATACGGTAATGATGTAGTAATGTTTGGTATGACCGCAGCTAGGCCCAGTTCCCAAGCTTTGTTGAAATTAGAATTAGGTAGTATTTTCAAGCATGCATGCGTTTGTTAGACTCCAGCCCCGATAGGCATCTCATGCGAAATATTATTCCCCGTATCATTTATATATAGTTTCATAAAAAATAGATTTAATAACACTAATACTTGAATGTTACTAATACGTTAGAAATTTTTTTGGTTGTATTTACAATACCAAACTTAGGTTATATAACTAACAAAATTATTTTGCGTACTTAACTTTTTTGATGTACACTTTGCATTCTTTATTTTTTACTTTGCTTTGCAATCTTACTATTTCCGTGGTACAAATAATGTTTACCATATAGGTAGGTATTTCTTAGGCCTTTCTGTTGGTCGGTATTTATGAAAACTTTACCTTATCTGTTATTTGATTGTGAAAAAGTTTATGACTTAGTACGAGTATATACATTGACAATTCGGAACCGGGTTCGAATATTATCCAAAAAGAACACGTCCAAAACAAACAGGAAAATTATACATTGGCTAGCTAGAAGAGTTTCATTTTTAATAAATGAGCGCATATTGTAATATCCTTCTGTTTGTACTCGGCAAGTTTAAAGTTAGCCCAAGAAACTTATATATTTTTACAAACTGCTTTACATAGCCTTTGAAAAAAGTAGGTGACCTATATTTTTGATTATATTGGACATGTTCTCTTGAATAATGATGAAAATTAATGAAAATCGAATCATGAATGCAAATTGAGAGAATTTATAGAAAAAAACTGGAATTATTTTACATTGCCGGCTACTGTTTTAAATTATTATTCTACACGTTATCAACACATATAGACGAACTCTCATAATTAAATAAAACAGTTAGGAGATATTTTTCTTAAACGAATCTTAGACTGTGCTCTTCTTTTTGAAAGTAAGTTGATCGAAATATAAATAAACCGGATAGAATCGTCACAGAAAACAGTTCCTGTTTCACTTTTGCTCGTCGATCTGTCTCATAACAAACTCCTCAGGGAAAATGGTAACCACAATCTATCATTTACTGAGGTGACGGAGTCTTGCGCCTGGAAATAATATTGCTTCTGTACATACCATTCCCAGGACGGCATATTTTAATATCAGATCTTCGTGTAAGACGGCGCAATATATTATTATTGCGCAATAAATAAACGATGCCTACGATATTGCGAATGCTCTTAAATCACTTACAGAATGCCAGAGACGTTTGATTGAAATCCAAATACTAACATGAGCTAAAAATATGACATTAAACATTCATTTAGAATAACATCTATATAAATGTGTTAAGTATTATACATACATTTTTATTGGCAACACTGCCTCTAGTTCTCTCTGTGATTATCTATGTTTTAATCTGTGCACTTTGCCAAATATGGCTGACGGATAGATACATGTAAAAAGTCCAAAGGTATTAAAATAAAGTTATAGTGATTTGAAAGGCATTATTATTATTGGTCTAATATAAAACTAACAAAATGTATTCGTTATCGATTATTTTGTGTGTGATAAACCAAAAAACGTCTATGATTCATAAACGTGTAACAAATTAATCGAATATCTATACTATAATAAAAACGTAACCAATCGATGTCTGTACATTGAAGATAAATGAAAGAAACTGTTATGAGGGACATTTGTAAGCGAAAGACAACACAAAACAATGATTTTTAAATGTTTTGTCTGTTTGTCGGTTTGTCTGTTTGTCTGTGCGTTTGTACATGATAATCTCAGAAAGGGCAGAACCGATTTAAATGCAGTTTTCACTATTATATTGCGGTATTCTTCCGTTAACATTTAGTGTAAGATTTATTTCGATCGGTTCACAAATAAAAAAGTTATGTCTATTTGAAGTGACGTGTTCGCCAAAATTTCTATGAAATATTAACTGTTTTATTAAATTTTCTTCATTGATATATTGATCATCAACATTAACTCTTTGACAGCCAAACTGCAGGGCCTCAGGCCTTTGTTTAATAATTTTTGGTCACCCATCCCGTGTACAACTCTTGCGAAAATTGCTTAGCAATATCGATCGTGCGCAGCGGCGCTTATCCGTAGCGCCACCGAGCTACGAATTAATATTGTCTATAAAATGGTAATTTTTATGATATAAATAACATTCGTAAGGATATAAATAACATCGGCAACATTAACACCCACCTATCCGCATTAAGCCCGCATAGAGGGTTATGGCCCATTGATCTTATTCGATTCGACTTTATTCATAGGAAAAAAATAATTCTACCAAAATACTTCCCACCAGACGAAGTCGCGTGCACAGCTAGTGTGCAATATATCTAACCCCACCGCAAATTCATAATTTTAAAAGGATATACGTAGATCCACATTTGTTACAACTGCCTCCTCCTTAAGTCGGTCACTCAGTGCTGAGAAGCATCGCAGCAGACTTCTCCATTGACTAGGTCTTCTGCTCGATGGAGAGCCTGGAATGTGAGCAATTGTAATTCTTTGGACACCTGATCAGATCATCGCCTAGGATTACATCCTCTTGGTCGTATGCCATCCACTTTGGCTCCGTTTTTTCGACGCGCTTCGTTTAAAAAAATCATGAATTTTGTGTGACGTAATTAATGGACGGCCCCTAACGAACGTTCATCTCCTAATTTAGGTTGTACTTTGTCTGTTAGTCAATCAATTGCAGAGCTTTAGCGATTTATAAATATCTCAAAACCTGATTTGCAGTATCCCTTGCGGGGTAGGCAGAGACCACCGAACGTCAACAAATACGGTCCTTGCATACACCTATCGCTTCGTTCACTTTCATTAGTCCTTTCATAGATACTCGCCTGTTCTACAAAGAAAAACAAAGAAATTATAGTTCTCTTAATCTTAATATAATACTTTGATAAAAAAAGGTTGCTACCACCAACGATGCTTGTGCCATTGGCCTCTCCAAATTATGAATATTCTATTCGGAAGGCTGCATATTTTTTTATTCATGAGATGGTAACTAGAATTACTTACCCAAGTTTTGTAACTTTTTGTATTTTTTGTATAACCATAATTGTATTTATATATTTATGGGTTAAAACAAAGAGATGAAAATATTGTTCTGTTTCTGTCAAAAAAGCTTCATTTCTTCTAAAGTAAGTAATTAAAGAATTATTAATTGGATCAATTTAAAAAAAAATTTGCAACCCAGATATTATTAAAAAAGAAAATTTGAACTTTGTTTATAGTATATTACGACATAGAATTTCATAAGCCAAAATAATTTCATAGCCCCAAATGAGAGCTGCTCATACGATCCAATTTATAAAACATATAAAACTAACATACTGTCATAACCCATACCAATAACTAACGCACCAAAGTGCTTCGCTATAGAATTGCCGCCGTCTCCCTCTACCATTAGGACCGTAGTCCCATCTCTGTCTCCCGCAGCATCCGTATCGATCTGGGAGACAGCCTTGACCTTGCCAGTCGCCTGTAAACAGTGCGCTGACCTTGCGAGATGCTCCTCCGATAGTATATTGTTCTCGACTCCACTAATTAGTGAATGGTTTCCAAATGTCTTTTGACTCATGCATGGGCATGAATTAAAATATCTGTATGCAGTTGGAATAAATGTTGACTTTGTCCGGCTACTCCTTTAGTTTGCAAATGTTCTTTCGTCCTCCTTGACCTGCGTGATGCAAGTGTATTATATGCGCTTGTTGCGTTTTATGCTTTATTGGTGAGTGGTATTTATCGCTGTGTGGAGCTTTTTACTTCAAGATTTTCCACAGAATTGTATTTATCCGTCGTTTTATCGATTTTCAATGTATTATGTGTAGGTTACGATAGTCTATTTAAAAGTTAAATAGGTAAAACCCTTGTCTTATATGAAACAACCTTGTTTACCCCACTAAAAGATCCTCGAAACAACTTATGTAGAAGTTCATATTACATATTCGGGAAAAGGACTAAGTCAGTTAACGATATCTGGAAACATTAAATTTATTGAAATATGTATACGTAAACTACGGTGTTGCAAAAAGAGGGTTACCGTTTTTACTATTAGGTAATTGTGTTTGTTCTAGTCTACTTGATTATTATTTGAGAATTAGTAAAGTGGCTTACGATACACACGATTTTTATATTATATATTTTTTCGTATATAAAACCTGAAAACAAGCGATACAGTTTCACACTACGTATTTATATTTTCTTTACATAAGACTGTTTAAATATTTTAGATGAAACTTTACCTGCGGGTAGCTAATATAAACAGAAATTTAAAGAAAAAAAAGCATTAACCCTGATTTGATTTGTTAAGTCGTCTATCTCTTTATAATTTAACGAGTATAGTCGTTCCACTTGACCAATGACCGCGTACGTTTCGGTCGAGTCATCGAGATATGAAAAGCTTTCTAAAGTACGTAACTGTACTTAGCATATTACGTAAATAATTACCGATGAGTTAGCATTGTACGGTCTTGTGCCGCAAAGTCATGCTCGGGTAAGGGAAGAATACACAGTAACTGCATTCACAATGCTGTACTGGTTAATATTCTTAATAAAAAATGCTTTAAAAATCCACTCATTAGTAGCGAAAAGTAACAAGTGCTTGAATAATTCGTGAGTTCTGTTAGATCGTGGGTTCACTTGCGAAAGGTCGTATGTTCGAGTCCCATCTTATAGTACCTGAGGCTGTTAAATTTTTTGGGCGTTTTTCATTAAGAATATAATATGTGTTATTATAAAACGGGGACTTATGTAAAGACATGGTTTGAACAATTGGTCGCGAAAATGTCAAATTGAGATTTATTATGATCGGTTAATGGTTAGTACTTTTAGTTATCTAGTTATAGTAAGACGGAATATGTTTTTCCCCGCTGTATCTTTTATCTTTTTAGGTAACCTCTTTTCGAGAAGCGACTGAATCGCTTACAATTCTTTCTTCAAGTCGGCAAGTCTTATTTCGGGGTTAAATTATTTCTGACGGAAGATTTTAGCTAATTTCGGGGTCTGTTAATGGGTTTCTTAAAAGAACTGGGTTCATTTTGTCCGCCAGCTGCTGTCTGAGCCTTTTGAGCTTATATATATATATACTATCTACTTAATAATACTTAGAAATTATTCTTTTCTCTGTTTATTTGAATCACTAAACTAATAACAAACATGAAAATTAATAAAATATATAAATAGTGAGTGCTGAGTTTACCTACAGGCGATCTCAGTAGAATTGTCTATTACAAATTATTATTTAAAAAAAAAGAAGGAGTACAGATCTATTGAAAATATATATCCTAAAATATTAATCAGTTACTAATTGTTTGTGTCACATAACAGGTTCGATATGTCGTTATTTTGCACAAGTAATTGTTAATATCTAGTAAGAGGTTATAAGGTGAAGTATAGAACCTTTTCGCTCTGTAGAATTCGACTTGCAGATGCACACATACGAAAACATTTTTTCGTTACCAGCACTCAATACTAATAATTCAGATAGCTAGGCTTTATCAATCTGTGTTGAACTAATAGTAGTTCAATGGTTGAACTATACGAAACACGATAAGTATTCCTAAGGGTGCTTCGAGGTGGAGCGGAGCTCGTGTAGAGAGGTGGTTGCGAGATTTGTTGTCGTTTGTACATATGTACCTGTGGTGCACAACAGGGGTGCAAGCGCTTTACTCCTGAGAGTTAGGTTAAGTTTCGTTATACTATTTTGACATGTAAAGACGAACGAACACGTTTTTCAGATACAATGGTTGTGGATGTTGCTAGATATAGTTTCACACCACAGTTTTATAGCAATGGAATTTTCAAGAAATTGCCTGATTCTATTATATCTTTTACGTTTAAAGTAATATTAATGTGTAAGATTTTGTATTGTGTGCAATGACATTAATCTGCATTTGACCGTGTGGTGTTCCAGGCGTGTGCGGATGTCGGGAGGCGGCGCGGGTCTGATGTCGTGTGTGCGCGAGGGCTCGTTGGAGCCGCCTTACCGTCCGCCGCACCAGGATCCGCATAATCATGGTACGGACATAGTTACAACTTTCTCGAAGGCCATTCATAGGATGTGTGATTACAAAATTTTATTACCGCAATATTTCCGTGCTTCAGATGGCACGTTAACCCGATAGTTCTGGATGCATCTGCCAGGCATTAGACGATGATCCATTTTCCCTGTTTGATTCCATTCATAGGATAATCACATGTGACTTTTTATAGTAAACCTATAATGTATTTATAAGATTATATATGTGATATTTATTTTTATGATTAAAAGTCAAACTTACATGATAAGCTAATAAAATAATAAGTATAATGCTGGGTACGAGCTGTACTTTAGGTGTGCCATTAGATGATAAGTCTGCCGCCAATGAATCCTTGGTTTTAATCATTCTGATCGATGATAAAAACCAAGGATTCATTGTTTGATAGGATTCATTCAATGATTAAAACCAGAAATTGATCGTGTAATGTGTTGACTGATGCCAGAATCAAATGGATCACATGTTATTCAAAAAAATATGATTTTTGTCATCAACCTGCAACTTAATATTGTTACGTTTCATGTTACAGGCGAGGGCCGCACCGGCCGGTTCCTGCGCGGTCTCCGCCGCATGTTCAAGCGTCGTGGCAGCGGCGCGCGCGCATCCAGCCCCGACCCTAAGAGTAGTTCTACCAGTGAACTGCTCGATGCCGAGCGACACGCCCGGAGAAAGTAAGTTATGTTTCCAAAATAAAGTAGAACTTGTTCCATTATTTTTGACTGTGTAAAGATCGGATCAGTACCAAAAATTGCCCTGCTGTAGAAACCTCCTAGCTTAATCACCTCAGCAGATATCATGTCGATCGATTTCTGATGTTTTCCCGTTAGGGGGCAGGTGTTAAGCGGCTGAATAATAACGGCAAATTGCTCGTAATGTAACATTGACAGCTCACAACTTGAATATAATGCGTAATTTAATCAAAGTACGTAATTTATTAAATTTAGTAAGGTGACATGAAATAAAATAATCTGGAGAACTGAGTGTATAGCTTTCTGGACCAATGGTACATATAAATTGAAGGAACCGTGTAAAACCGGGTGGGGATGCTCTAAAACGTTTGTAAGATTACAACTGAAATGTGCATAAATTCTATATGTTTCAGTTGTAATCATTATTTGGATTTAGTAGACAATGGACATTATTCGGATTGCCGGTTACCGGATGGATGTTTAATAATTTATTGTCCAGAGCTCCTCCCTGCTTCGGAAGGCACCTTAAACTATTAGTGGGACAGTAAAAGGCTGATGATGATATATATTTTAAAGCAAATGTATTGTTATTGCAGAGAGGGTGCATATGGCAGCGGTCTGTCAGTGTCGCACGACTCTGTGTTCACTGGCGAACGATCAGGCGATGAATCCAGTGACGAACGGCCCCCGCACGCGCTAGCACACCTCGCCACCACACATCGGGTAAGTTGAATCTACTCGTAATATATGGAAATGTAGGTATCTATGTATACCCTTGGTCACGACAAATATCTTCATATAAAACCTGTTTACTTATAATATTCCATTCCAGACAAATTCCGAGCGTGTGTTGAATTAAACTAAACCGGGTAGGGTAAGGTGGGGCACAGTGTGACAAGGGGCACAGTGTGATACTCTCAATATCTCCGTCTTTTTTTACCATATCGTTATCGCTTAGACACATTTCAGACAAGCGCATCAGATGCCACCTTAGAACATTTGTCAATTGGATTCTTATTTGCACGCTGCAGAAATTTTACGAAAAAAGTATTTTTGGTCTATTTTTTTTCTTATAAACTGCCAGTATTGTTTTCGTTCTAAGGTGGTGATTGATGTACTTATGTAAGTAAATGTTTTTTTTTCTTGAAAAGCCATGTATTTGTAGAAAATACGCATAGATAGTTTGCCGGTATCGTAACCTACAAATTGTTTTCTATGATTGTTTGTTTTTTTTTAGCCTATGGGGTACAATGTGACGGGGCACTATGTCACAACTCTTGAAAAGCAATGAAGATGATTCTTACGATGTAAGCTACTTACATAAGAGCGATAAGGTTGATAACAGTTTTTATTTCCCGCTTGAGCCAGATTTGGCGGTAGTTGGAATAGAAGATGTAGAAATTGTTTTACCTGAGTTTGAAAAGTGCAAAAAACAAAACAACAAGCTGAATTTTATATTTCTCCTAAAAATATTTTAAAGACGTAAAATGTGCAATAAATCTTATTATTATAAACAAGTTTTCCTAGAATAAGTAATGTCACAAAGTACCCCATACTATGTCACATTGTACCCCGGATCCGAGGCAGTCTGTGACAGTCTCGACGGATCACAAAAATATGCAATTTAAAAATACTTGTAGTTATTTTTGTATGGTTTTTCGTTGTCAAATGATAGTTTAAGAACTGTTGATTAGTCTTAACTAATAGAAAGTTTCTTTAATGAATATTTTCAGATTTATAGTACGATTTATGTTTTTTGTCACACTGTGCCCCACCTTACCCTAATTCTGTTTTGTTTTTGCTAAACAAGTGGAGCTTAAGATTTACTTATGTCGAACCGGTTCAAAAATAAACCGGTTTAAAAGCTTTGATCTCTAGTTCAGGGGGAGGGGAGATCAAAACGATACTCTTGGTTATAGGGGCAGGGCGAAGCTTAGGTAAACGTCATTATTCAAAGCATGTCATACTTAAAGTATGAAATATAGAATACGAGAAACGGAGGAAGTTAGCAAATGTAAAGATTGGGTCATATAGTAGGTACATGTATAATGCTTTTACATATATAGTATAGACTCATATTATGAAGAGGTAAAGTTACTAAATTTATTTGTTTTATTATTATTTAATTTACCCTTCTGAATCTTTACACAATACGCGGGTGATATAGGCTTAGGGAAAGCAATCTCGTTCTCGCGAGATTTCGTTTTCGCGAGGTCTAGGGCTTTTTTAGCGAGATTGATCTCGGTCGAAAAATGAAAACACTTTATTTAAAGTGTGTTTTATTTAAGTTTTTGTATTCTTGTTATGAAAATTGTGTGTTATAATTAAACTTTTGTTTGCTATTAGCGGAAAAGACCGGTTGTTTATTTCATTTCGTATTTGATTAGATACTTCAAGTCGTCGAATAATATTTACTCGGCACTTAAAAAAATAAAACCTAACTAAATCAATTTATCGCCTCTGAAAGCCCCTGCATACTTAATGTCACGTAAATTGTTGGAGCCGTTTCCGTGATTATAATACAGGAATTGCTCTTTTAAAGGTTTTTCGTCAACCAATGTTAAATAAATAAAACTTTATTAAAAATACCCTTAAAAATAATGTTTATTTCATAATACCTACAATTCCTATAATGTTATCCTAATTTATTCAAATATTGTGATTTGAATGAGAATTCAAAATATGAGGCGAAGTCAAGGGAAATCAGCTTGTATAAAATAAAGTAACAAAATCGTTCTAGTCGCACCATTTCAAACTTATTCTACCTCGATTACTTAATCATCCCTTAATCATTACTTAATCAGTGTGCTTAATTAGCGAATATATTTATTTGGTTCTAATGTAATTTTATTATCGTCAGCTAAATATAGCCATAGGGTAAAAACATATACATATATTTAATCGTAAATAAAAACATAAGCCCACGACATACAAAATGTTGTCTATTTACAAATCTTTGTTATCGGACTAATTAATGAATCAACTTTTATTGAATTGTAGATTTACTGTGATTCTGGTGCTTTATTGGGATTGTTTTAGTAAATAGTTTTTTTTTAATACACAATTGCCCAAAAAGACTGATTTATGTTTTCTATTAATGTATGGACGTCTTTTTTTTCTTCTATCATAACTTTGAAAGATTAAACAATATGTTACATTAGCCCTAAATATATATATATATATATATATATATATATATATATATTCAATTGCGGATGTATAAATATTTTGTCTCATATAATAATATGGGTATCAAAATAAAGGTAAGTGTATTCATAATTAATATTTCACTAATATGAATAATTAAAAAATTAAAAAGTAGACTGCCAATATCCAACATAAAAAAAAGAAACAAGTTGTATAATGGCGTGGCTAAAAAAACTTTATATTGGCAGTCATTTTTTTATTTTTTTCTTGCACTATAGTGATGTAACGAATATAATATTTAAATTAATATTTATTTAATATTTAAATTATAAATATTTTTTTCTCACAAAAGCGAATGCAAATGCGGCTTCGAATATCTATTGCGAATGCGAATATTCATTTTTTTTTATTTGGCGCTATTTATCTAATAAGTTTCGTATAACGAGTTGATTTCAGTGAAGAGTTTATGTGTTTGTTTGTATATACATATTGCAATATATATTTTTTGTTTTATCTATATCCTCACGCCATATCCCTTGCGTTGTAGGCAAAGTGCCACAAGTACGGTTTGTCTATTCCACTTTCATAGCATTTCATACACGCTCACCGATTTTTATGGCGATTTAATCGTGAATGGTGTACCATAGCCGTGGCTTTCCTCGACTTCTACATCGATATACTTTCGAGTTGTGGATCAGGTTGTTTTCTTTCATTCGGTATTCTAACAAGATGCCCCGATGTTACATGTCAGGTTATTTCTAAGTTTTAACAAGAAGTTAATTGTTATTTTAAAATCTATTAACCAAAGTAATATTTTCCTGTCGTATTCCCAATAAATGCGACAAAGAATAGTGTCACATCACTAATTGAATTTTAGAGGAATTAAATTTAAATATTATTTATTCAATCTATGATCAACCACGGTCAAAACGTTTGTGATTAGATATTTAATCGTTTGTAAAATTGTTGTGTTGTGGATCTAACGCCTAACGTCAAAATTACACCTTCGCGCGTTGCACGATTATTATAAGAAAAACTCATTATGTGATGTCAATAAAGATATTTAATAACTACCGGATGAATTGAAATTGTTGACTCGAAAACATTTCGCGTAATCTAAATGTCGCTTTTCTCAGGTACGCCCACACGCTATCTCACTCTCCACCCGAGAAAAGTAGTATTTGGTGTAGACTAAGGGTATGTTCCGATATACACTGCGAGCACTGCGCAGTGGTCTTACTGCTGAAAAATCCGTTCCGTTATGGACTGCCAGTACACTGCTACAGTACCCTAGGGAAATTTATGACGTCATAAATTGCCGCCATATTTGTACTGTGAGCACTGGAGATTTCGAGGTAAGGTGCTCGCAGTGCTTTTGATCACGTGATCAGTCGAAACAGAATCAGAAAATGATAAGTTTCTAAATAAACAAAAAGAAATAATTACGTTTATTATAAGATGGATAAATATTTTTTTTATACAATTTTTCAATTTTATAATATTTTCTTTTGAAAAGAGGGAATCTTTATATTTATATTCACCTTGCATTAACAAATTTGAAAATGGCGCCAAAAATAGGATTAACAGTATACTGGACTGCGTTCCGTTATAAAAAGTCACCAGTATAACTAGCTATAAAGGAACGGGCTTCCAGTATACTAAATTGACGTCATACTGTTCAGTGGTTGCAGTGTATATCGGAACATACCCTAAGTGTGTCTCGAGTTTGTCATGCTACGTGGGATGTTTCGCGTATAGAGGGCACCGCAATTTACGTGTAACGCTTGCCTTAGAAAATTCCAATTAACGTCATATCAACGATATCGATCATCACGATCGTAATCTCTATCACATGTCAAACAGCTCGTAGCGTGAAGTTCATGAATATCTTTCAATTGTCAAATTGAAAGAGAAATCGATAGATTTTAAAAATAAGCAGCCCGCGGTGAATCGAAATATTGTACTGAGATGAAGCTAGGAACATGGTGAGGTCTACTTTATTTCTCGTTTTACTTCATAGACAGAAGTCAAATTGCTTTATGACTTTATTATATCTAAAGCTGTGCCCTATATATTTGGAGAATTCTTCCTTACCAATGGACGGAATCGAATCATGATGGGTGCTGACGATTGCAGATGTAACCGAGACCAACGGCTTAACGTGCTTTACGAACCACTAACGCGCTGTAAATAAATGTCCATTCTAAGCTGAACCTTTAGAGTCTATGAAATAATATTCTTTAAAAAAATGTATTTAATTGGTATGATTATTTTAATAAATCAATTGCGTTACATGGAAGTAATAAATTGTTTTTTAATAAATTATTTTTGAGCTTTATCATATCCATCGGTTGAGTGTTTATTTAGTGAAAATAATCTCCTCTTTTTTGAATTACTGGAACTAGCTAATTACTGACATATGTATTTGTTTACGTGCTTGGCACGCGATATATAAATTATTTGGGAAACACGACGTTAATATTATTGGGAAGAAACGGTTACAGTTTTTAGATCATGAGTCGGATAAAGAAAATATGTATTTATAAATTAAGCAACAACGCTAAGGATCGGTTATA